TAGTTATTTTGTCTGAAATATTTTGTATATATGAAATATAAAAAACGGGTCATCCCATTTATAAATCATGTTTGATATAGCCTTCCAAAATACTCCGTATACTTCATAATATTTTTAAAATGTCCTCCTTAAGGCACCGCTCGATGCCCTAATAAAATAAGTATTTTCTATCTATATGACATAGGAGTAAATATAATCACTATTAGTCCACCCTGTATGTGTTGATTTAAGACAACATTTATAAATGAATATCTCTAATACAGGAAAACACTAAATATGCAGGTATGTGGAGTAGTGAACAATGGTTAAAATAGTAAACGGTTTATAACATTTGATTTTTAAAAAATTCTTCAATTTAATGATTTAACTAACCAAGAATTGTTACAATACATTACATATCATTAATAAAATAATATTTACAAAAATACCAAATGCAACTGGTATCAGATTAATTATTTACCCTATCGAAAATATCAGAGTTTTTGTTGCCACGGTGTAGTATATCTCCATATCCCACTCCCAGTCCGAAACAATCCGTAATTATTTGTGGTGGGGCGCGATAGAATGAGAGCGACCCAACTAGTGGGGACTTTAAGTTGCCCTTCATTGTACAACAGCACCAGCAGCAACAGTAATAACTAAAGCAGACTTCTCTAATCTATAATCAGAGTATTCCTTACTAAGTAGTCAGAGATTCCTTACTGTTGTAGTCAAAGCATTCCTTTCCAACTTGACAGAAGGATTATTATCCCCCTTATACATACTGTTGGCTGAGCAAATCAATTCAAGTAACAAGATTTAAGAACGTTATCAGCATCGTTGCCTTAGATTAGATGTCGTTGCTATTACTTTATTGATCTTGCTGGTGCTGCGCTTCTATTGTTGTTGATATAGTTGTAGTAGTAGTAGTAGTAGCAGCTATAGTAGTTATAATTGCTGCTGCTGTTGTTGTCGTTGTTATTGATGCTATTGATCTACAACAGCAGCAGCAACAACAACAACAACAACAGACAACAACACAACGGCAGCAGCAGCAGCAGCAACAGTAATAACTAAAGCAGACTTCTCTAATCTATGATCAGAGTATTTCTTACTAAATAGTCAGAGATTCCTTACTGTTGTAGTCAAAGCCTTGCTTTCCAACTCGACAGAACACTTCTTATCATCCTTACGCGTACTGTTGGCTAAGCAAATCAGTTCAAGTAACAAGATTTAAGAGCGTTATCAGCGTCGTTGCCTCAGATTAGATCGCGTTGTTATTGATCTTGCTGGTGCTGCCACTTCTGTTGTTGTTGTTTCAGTTGTTGTTGCTGTACAAGTGTTGTAGCAGCTGTAGTTGTTGTAGTTGCCGTCGCTGTTGTTGTCGTTGGTATTGATGCTATTGATCTAAAACAGCAACAACAGCAGCAGCACCACCAACACCAGCAACAACAACTACAACACAACTACAACAACAACAACAACAACAACAACAACAACAACAACAACAACAACAACAACAACAACAACAACAACAATAACAACAACAACAACGACAACAACGACAACAACGACAACAACGACGACAACGACAACGACGACAACAACGACAACGACGACAACGACGATAACGACGACAACGACGACAACGACGACAACGACAACAAAGACGACAACAACGACGACCACAACGACGACCACAACGTCGATCACGACGACGACCACGACGACGACCATGACGACGACCACGACGACGACCACGACGACGGCGACGACCACGACGACGACCACGACAACGACAACGACGACCACGACAACAACAACACCGACAGCACCAGCAGCAGCAGCTACAGCAGTAGCAGCAACAGCAGTAGCAGCAACAGCGGCAGCAACAGCAACAACAAAGCAACAACAACAGCAACAACAACAACACGAGCAGTAGCAGCAGCAGCAGGAAGAACGACAGCAATAGCATGTACAACTGCAATAGCAACAACGGTAACAACTAAAGCAGACTACTCTAATCTATGATCAGAGTATTCCTTACTAAGTAGTCAAAAATTCCTTACTGCTGTAGTCAAAGCATTCCTTTCCAACTCTACAGAACACTTCTTATACTCCTTACGCATACTGTTGGCTAAGCAAATCAGTTCAATTAACATGATTTATGAGTTTTACCCGCGTCGTTGCCTTAGATTAGATGTCGTTGTTATTGCAGTTATTGATTTTGCTGGTGCTACCGCTTTTGTTCTGTTATTGTTATAGTTGTTGTTGCCATAGTAGTAGTTGTAGTAGCAATTGTAGTAGTTGTATTTGCCGCTGCTGTTGTTGTCGTTGTTATTGATGCTATTGATCTACAACAGCAACAACAGTAACAATAACAACAAGAACAGTAGAATAGCTGTGCCGATTCTGCTCCACAATTCAAGATGGCGACTGGAGCAGGATCGGCATAGCTTTCAGCCGGCTACGTCACATCGACTGACGTCTGCGCGGTAGAGGTTGATGACCGTTCGTGCAGAACTAGAAGTATTATTTATGTATGGATCTATTATTAGTGGTAGGGTTGTTGATAATTTTTTAGCATTTCTTCTGATACAATGAGTGGTCAAAAGCGGGTTGTGTTTAATTTGGATAATAATAAAACATATACTTATGGATCCTGATGGCTGGTTTGAAAAAGCAAGAAAATCTAATTTGATGGAATTGATCAGTGATAGAGCTCACTTTCAGAAAAGAATTAACGATGTCTCATTTACTATAAGTAGTATTTTAGATAATAATCATCGATCGCGTATTTACTATGAAAGGTTTTGTTAACATATTTCTTATTATCAAATAAAGTTTTATATTGATATTTGTGTATTATTTTGAGGATACCTAACCTGTCTGGTGTCTGTGGTGGTATAAAAGTAGGTGACTTTAGATTTCTTCAATCATTATTACATTAGAATTGTGCTGAACAGTTTTATTTATTGATTGCAATATGCCTGTTCCAGTAAAGTATAAGTGCATCAAATGCGGAGGAGATTGCGACCTACCAAACAGAAAATGTTTCCCATGTGAAACTAAGGATTATTTTAAGGATGCAGATGGATCGAAGCATGTTCCTAGTTCTTACTTTGATAAAAATAATTCCAAGTAACTGTTGTTGCTAGTGCGTCTAATGTTATAATGTTTTTTTTGAATCATATAACATTTGTTTTAATATGGGAATTTCATTACTTTTTGTTATATAAAAATAAAACACAGTGAGCTTTTAAAATATTATTTATTAAAACAATACAATATAATTCAAACATTATTTTGTGATAGATTTAACCACATTTGCAAATGTGGTAGCCAATTGCTGAGATCTTCGTTTGGAACGTTATTCCAATTTGATTCCTCTACCTCCTGTTGAGCATTCGATGGCCCTTCGTTAACAGTGCTCTGTTGTTCATCATTGATACGCTCCCGGTTTCTCTGAATTAAATTCCTGAGATCATCATTTGGAGCGTTATTCCAATATGATCCCTGTCCCTCCTGTTGAGCAACCCATGGCCCATTGTTAACAGTGCTCTGTTGTCCATCATTGATGCTCTCCCAGTTCCTTAGATTTAAATTTTGTTGCTGATACAGGCTGCATTTTATCAAATGTTCTACCAACCAACGTCGTAAGAAACGATTACGGGCAACTAATTGTTGCTGATACAGGTCTCGTCTACATTTTTTCAAATGTTTTGCCAACCGACGTCGTAAGAGACGATGATTGGGAACTAATGGACAATTGACAAAATCTGTAACAAATATATATTCAAAAACTAGATAATCACAAAAAAATAATTTATTATTTCCGAGATATTAAGGTTTCAATTATTACTTACCCCTGTAAACCATATTAATAAGAAAATATATATTTTCAAGTTAAATAATTAAATGTTGAAATAATGATATATTTACTTGTTTAATGCAGGTATATATATATATCCTGATAGCTAGCCCTTCCACTATAAAAAGTAGGAGGGTAAATAAGATAGAGTGGGTACTGGAGAAATATGGGCGGGTAAGGTATATATACATATATGAGACTTATTTGAACTCAGTTATAACATTCATTTACATTCAACATGGATCTGCAAAAGTTGAACAAGGCAACTTCATATAAAGAACTGAAGAATATTAAAGATTTACATATAAATCAAAAGTATAAAATAGTGAAACTGAGGTTTAGTAAAACCAAATTTGGTGACGGTATTGTGGCCGAAACTGAAAATTTTACCTGCTACTTACCAAGAAGATTTTACATACATTTTGAAAAGGAAGATATTGAAAACTTTAACGATGCTTTAAGAAGTCTACCTGTATATATGGTTAGTAAAGGAAAAATTGGTACAACAACGAACATTATATTTATCCAAGATGATGCATGAAAATGGATTCATAAAATGATTATTAATATTTGAAATAAACTTTTGTCTACAATGTCTTATATTCCATGTGAATGTTTTGCAATAGTTGCAAAATAAAAATATTTGTATTGAATGTTGTTTATTCTTCCCCGTACATATACTATAAAATAAAACCTTATATACTATATTTTCTGTTCCAAGTAAATGATGTGAATGTTTTGTCATAGTTTTTCTCCTGAAACTTGTAAACAATTTTTATCGAGCCTTATATATACACTGAATCTGAAGACAAATAATTTTGAACATTTAATAACTGAATAATACAGCTTATCTAATAACATGGATGATATGTGCAAATATGTCTGCAGTAAAACATGAAAACAGATACAAAAGTTGATCAAACCAATAAGGTTTTAGGTGCTGAAATCTATGAAAATATCTATTTTTGTAAATATATCTCCAAATCTTATAACATATACTTCCATAGTCATACATATAAAATTGTTTATTTTTATTTGTAAGTATGTGAAAAAATTGTTAAAATGTAGGGTTAGGATAACTGAAAATGCATGTTTTACAAACGCTTTTTCAAAATAATTATTTTATTTAAGCAAAATTTAAATAGTATCAATGAATATACACCAAGGATTTTATTTGTGTGCTTAGTTTTATTCTACATTTCTTGTAATAAAAAATTGTTTATTGTGTCAGTAAAAGTAGAAGTAAAAAGTTGTAAGCAAGCACTAAATATTTAACGAAAATATTTTATTGTCTCATAGAAATTTCGATTGGTAAGAAAAAAAATGAATTGACAATATATTTTTATTTCTAGAAAAATTTATATACAAATAATAATAATAATAATAAAAATAACCTAAAATATTACAAACTAAAATCTGATTATATGTACATAAAAAATGTTACAAAAATAGTTGCTGAACTCAATGATTGAGGAAATAACTATTTTTTTGTTATTTCCTATTTCTTCAAATTGGTTCACCATTCCCCTTAACCGCTTCACTGAAGCGGTATTGGTACGTTTTCTTCGTTCCAAAGTGAGTTCTCGCTCGTCGAGAAGCCGCAATTGCTCCCTGAGCGAGCGTCTCTCTCTGTTTACGAAGAAATCGTTCCTCGCCCTTCAGTGCTACGGTGAGCTCTTCCTCTCTTCGTAACTTTCTTCTTAATTGTGCCATCTCCCTGGCCTTGCGTTGAGCCCATTCGGCCCGTTGAGCTTCTTCCTCCCTCCGTCGCCTCTCTTCCGCCAAGGAAGCCGCCCATTCATCCTCGCCTATGGAATTAGTTGCCGGAGTTGCCGGAGTTGACTGAGTTGCCGGAGTAGCTGGCTCAGGGGACGGTGATGTTGACGCCCATCGGAGGCTCCTCGATGGCGATTGGAGTCGTCGAAGGATATCCATATTTGTCCCACTGCAATAGAAAATAAAGGAAATTAATACATATATATTTTCCAGATTTTTAGATTTTTTTCTTAATTTATTTAAGAAAATAATATTTACCCAGTTGAAGCCGAAGGGACATTTCGAAAATCGGAATCATCCGGTTCCACCATTTTCCTTTTCGGGGTGGTAGCCTTGGAGATGCTCGGCTGTACCTCCAGCCTCCTCCAAAACCACCTCTGCGATTTCCGGCAGATCCTCCAGCTCCCCGGAGATGCTGCAAGGAAAGGAAAAAAAATGTTAATAAAAAACGAATCAAATATTTTAGACTGTTATACAAAAGCAACAGAATATGATTGAAATATGTATAGGAATAAAAAACTTACGTTTCACTAATCACGGAATCAACACTGAGCGGATGCTCCCGGAGTTCTTCCCTGGCCTCCGGTGACAGCGAGCACATTGTTGTTGGATGCATAGCGACGATGTAATCTAGCCTGGTATTCGTACAAGACTAAATATATTCAACGGACGCTTGCATACTTATATATATTTATCAAATTATTACAACTTGCAGATTCCAGCAGCATCCGGTGAATTCCCTCGAACTGTCACTTAACTCTCTTATTTATTTCACCAGAAATTGTAATTCAACACCGTTTTCTGCTGAGTAAGCAAAAAATGTAATTTGACACATTTGTTTTGAAATTTGACACCGTGTTCTGTAATTTGACACCTTTGTTTTGAAATTTGACACCGTGTTTTGTAATTTGACACCTTTGTTTTGAAATTTGACACCTTTGTTTTGTAATTTGACACCTTTGTTTTGAAATTTGACACCGTGTTTTGTAATTTGACACCGTGCTGTGTAATTTGACACCGTGTTTTGTAATTTGACACCGTGCTGTGTAATTTGACACCTCTGTTTTTAAATTTGACACCTTTGTTTTGAAATTTGACACCGTGTTTTGTAATTTGACACCTTTGTTTTGAAATTTGACACCGTACTGGGTAATTTGACACCACGATTTGTAATTTGACACCTTTGTTTTGACACCTTTGTTTTGAAATTTGACACCTTTGTTTTGTAATTTGACACCTTTGTTTTGTAATTTGACACCTTTGTTTATATGTGTATAAAAATGTATATATAATTTTTTTTTGTCGCTTATTTTTTTTATTGCATTTTTGGAAATTTTTATGTCTCAGAATTCGAAAAGTAAGATCACGACCTCTCATCCTTATG